GGGAAAGAGAAGACATTTTTATGTGAAAAAAAATAATCTTTCATCAATATATTCTCTGAATGATTCGTTAAATCCAAGTTTTTTGCTCATCTGAGTTGAATATTAGGACTACTTAAGTTCAAATAATTAATTAAATCAACTTCTTGCTTACCTGAGGTGCTGTTATAAGTACGTAAACATATATAGAAAGTGGGTGGGCATTTTTAACGCTTATTTTCTTCTTAATTAGTACTTTCTTGCATGAACACAATAAATTTATGAAACGTGTTCTTTTTTATGGAGCATGCATTTGATACAAAACAAATTACTTTTTCTTCACAAAAAAAAATAAAAAAAAATAAAAAAACACAAAAAAAAAGGAAAAATAACATATTTTATTAGCAAAATATAAATCACTGTACTATCTAACTATATATCCATGAGTAACATGAGAGATTGAGAAGAAAAAAACGAAAAGAAAAGGAAAGGAAAAACTTACTTGGACGGTGGCTTCGCAGGATCATTAGGGCGAGGAGCAACAGTCTTCTCCTTCGTTGCTACTTTCTCCTGATCTGATCCATCCTTTCCAGTTTCTTTAGTTGAAAGGTTAAGCTTCAAGTCAACCGTCTCCGAAAACCCTCTCTTCCCGTTACTCTTTGCAGCCTCAGCATCATTTCCATTACTAACACCTCCAGGTAACCCTAGGCGTAATTCAGTCTCTTCAAAATTAATCATGCTGTAGGTGTCAGCTGGTTCTGCTCCCATTATGCTGGTCATCGATCCTTCACAAAACCTCCAGTCCTTAAAAATAAGCACCAAACCCCTCTTCTTCTTCTCTCTCTCTCTCTCGCCCCCTTTTCTTCGTGTTGGCGATGCTAATAATTTCTTGCTACTAATTATCTTGATGTAGAGAGGTTTATGGCATGCACATGTAATAAAGGTGGAGCAATAGTATAAGCTTATAGTGCTAGAAGGGCCAAATTAGCAATAGGGAGCAGTGATATATGGTTTTTGGGACGTTGTGGTGGGGGGTTTTTGGAGGGTGCAGATGATGGCACGTGTACGGTCAAGTCCGCTTGACAGTCCCATGGCTTGTCGGGGAAGTGAGGTCATGAATGATATAGAAGATAGAATGGTAGTGGTAATGCGCCTGGACAGGCCATGCTGGCTTTGGTATGCCTTTTTTACTTTGTTTCCTGAGGCTCCACCATTTTAGGCAAATATAAAAGCTGGCACTGCAACTTGTATAAAAAAGGCGAAATCGTATTAGGTAGTGTTTGTAAGTCTCTTATTCGATGTCTTTTAAAATATTTTTTTAATTAAAAAAATATATTAAAATAATATTTTTTTATTTTAAAAAATTATTGTTAATATTAACCCATAAAAAAATTAAATTAAATAATTATTTGTAAAAATCATATAATGAATTTTGATCGAGTCACTAAATCATCCCGAATTAATCTTTGATTTTTACTTTGTAAAACAAAATGATATTTTTTTTTGTTAAAAAACAGTATTTTTAACACCAATTTAGATTTTTGACTGAGTTAAATTTTTTTTATAGATTTAAAATAATATTTTATTATTTTTAAAAAAATATTTTTAATATTAACCCATAAAAAAATTAAATAATATAATTATTTGTAAAAATCATGTCATAAATTTTAATCGAGTCACCAAATCATTTCGAGTTAATTTTTTATTTTCACTTTGTAAAACAAAATAATATCTTTTTGTTAAAAAAACAGGTTGTAATAGTATTTTTAACATCAACTGAAAATTTTTACCGAATTATTTAAATTTTTTTACCAAATCCAACCCAATTTTTAACCAAAATTAATTAGATATTTAGTTAACCCACCGAACCAAACCAAATTTTAAATCTATTGGTCAAAAAGAGGTGCAGCCCGCGCGCATGCAATTTGTGAGATTAGATCAATTCCAATATGGGAAAAAAGGAGGTATCCCTGTCATTCCAAGGTTACTTCAATATCTTTTCAATCTTCATTTAGGTTATGCAGTCTCCACTTCCAGTGGTAAGCATTCAAAGCACCTACACATAATGGCAACGATGTGTGCCACTAAACCATCACAAAAATATATAGTACAAGAGAAAGGGAATGTTAGATGGAGAGAGAGGAAGAAAAGGCATGCTTCAAAAACCAAAAAAAATAAAAATAAAAAAAATTGTGTACATTTCCTACACGCATCATAATGTATTGGTTCAAAAATTATTTATGATCTTCCACTTAATGAGTAATAAATTGCCTTGGAATAACTCAACTGGTTTACGAAACTTTTTTTTTTTCTGTCATGAATTTGTGTATGATCTTGACAAAATTGGAATCAAATCCACTTCACATCATTAATAGGAGATATTAGGGGAAGGGATAGATATTAATTTTCTCTAGTTGTACAGAATATTGAATCTTTATAAGACTTGGTTTCCTGATTTTGCATTTGGAATTTTAATTTGATCTCCTTATCATAAAGCCATTATTCTACTTTGTCTTTTTAATGGCTTCATCGTAGTTATTATTAGGGGTGTTCAAAAAAACTGAAAAATTAATTAAACCGAGAAAACCTGAAAAAAAACCTGAAAAAACCAAACCGAAAAAAAAACCGATTAAACCGATTAAAATTTTGAAAAAACCAACCGGTTCGGTTCTGTTTCGGTTTTATAACCAAAAAACTGAAAAACCGAACCGCAAAAAAAAATGAGCCGAACCGGAAAA